AAAAATTTTGCTTATCATTATTTGTAACGGCACATTAAGCTATATTATTTACTATGTGATAGGTTTTTTTTTTTTTTTTAATTAAAATGTGTGGTGATTTTTCACCAATACATGGTGAGATAATTAGACATATATTGAAATTTAATTAGACACTTACCTCTTCATAATTTATTTAACACTCGAAAGATTGCATAAAAACATTACTAAAGCCGAAGTTCTCCCAAAATTACTAGTTAGTTTATAGTAAATAAAGGCTATAGAAAAGTTAATCACCTATAAATAGCCTTTTTTTTTTTTTTTTGGAATAACAATAAATGTCCAAATTTTTAGATAAAATAGGGAATTACTGAATTTCTCACATGATCAAATTTGATCATGATTAAAATCAATAAATCGGGTATTACCATGATTAAATTTCATAAAATTTAGGATTTACTCCTATGAAGCTTCAAATGAAATCCATTGTTTAACAGTACTATTTAATCAATACATTTACTAGTTTTTACTTACAGAATACTTTTTCAATGCCTTTTTTTTTTTTTTTTCCTTTTCCTTCTAGGGTTAGTTGATTAATTCTTGGAATTTCGTTTGTGCTTTGCTTAGACGTATTTTATGGGCTCGGTTTTAATTCCAAGTGAATGGTCGTGAGTTTCTGAACTTGAGGTTTTGCAGCCTGTGGGCAATTTTTAGGGTGTGCGTATACATATATATTAACTAATAGGTTGGCACAAACTAACCAAGTCATTTTTATTATACACCTTCGATAAAAATGAAGTAATAAAAAATAAATTGCAAGAAATAAAAAAAAAATAAAAAATCCAGCTACAACGGCCAACAAAACGAGAAAATAATGCAAACGAAAACGTTAATCGAAATTAAAAGGAATCTACTTTCTTAATCAAAAAAATTAAGCGAGTCCTCGTGACGCCCTTAGCTAGTAAAACTTAGAGGGTAAAACATTACAAAAGGAAAAACATAAATGCTTTTCTTTCTGAGATGTGGTCACACTCTTTTGTAAGCTTAGTAAGCTGATCCATTATTGTATCCAAGACCCTGAGATTACAAAATTTATTTCTTTCTTAGAATTGTGTCACTTGATTTCCATTTTCATCAAATTACTAGTTGTAGGCACATCCTTTTACTCGATTCTTCGTGATCCGAATTTGACACTTACTCTCTACTCAATTTATTTTTTTATTATTTTATTTTATATTTTTAAAAGAATATTTTCTATAAATAGATTTACAAGTAGAACAAATGGAAATTTACTTGCGGGATAGTTTGGCACAAAAATTCAATAGATGATTTCTTATCATTATTTTAACAATGCATAAAACCATCTCATATAAAAAGACAAGAAATACAGAATTAATCTCTAGCAAATGGTAATAAACTGACTGCACTCGCAAATACTAAAACAAAAGTACAAGAAAAATAAATTAACTATTGCGTTTACAATATTAGTTTTTGTTCTTCTTTTTTGAAGTCCACAATATTTATCTTGATTTTTGTGGTGTTCTTATACGCAAGCAAGAGAAATAAATATTACCTAAATAACTTGGCACAAATTTGGAAAGCTCACACTATTTTTTTTTTGCCCCTTCGTCATTTGCATTCTTCAAATTTAAGACCAACACATGGCTCATATATTTTGAGAGTATGTTGTCTTTTTGACTCGTGACTTTTGTGCTTCTTGAATTCCTCACTAAATTTTTCTCGACAAACTAGAGTAGCCCACTTTATGCAGTGCGTGATTTTTTTCCACTGAGCTTGTTGTAATATGGAAGAAAGAAGGAGCACAAATACCATAACATGGTTTAGAAGAATATTGGCATGTGAAGGAGCTTGTAAAAGGATGAATATTATTGATAATATCACCACGAAGACATTGCCCGTCATGTTATAATTTCTACACATACACACATGTGTGTGTATATATATATATATTTCAAACTTGACCAATTTTTTGTTTGTTCAAATAATTGTTACATACTGTATATAATAATTTGTATCCGAAGTGAAATACATGGCCCGTTCATTTCACCGATTCGAGTTTAGAATTCGAGTTTTACTATAATATTTCTCAGAAATAGTCACTTCTAACTTTTTTACTACAGTAAAAAGCTTTCACATAAAATCACATTTCAATTCGAATTAAAAACTCGAATTAGTGAACTAAACATGTATATACTTCATCGGTCACTTATCTCTTCATAGAACATAAAAGATGTAGAATGCATATTGCACTTTTTTTCCTGATTGGTAAGAATACATCAAATTGTAACAATCATTTGGTCGTTTACTTGACAAAGTGCGTCTCTTTGGTCGTCTAGAGGTTATATGTTTTTAAAATTTTGGATTATTATCACTTGTGATCTTAAATTTTAAGATCATTCTCAGTTTATTTTCTAAATTTTAAAAACTCTCACTTTGCTCTTAGAATTTTAGATTAGTCTCATTTAAACCCTTTTGTAAGAATTTATGTTAAAATCATATCAGAAAAAAAGGTTTAAGTGTGGTCGTATAGTTTTTATCTGTTTACTTTTAACAGATGTTCAAACAGAAAGAGAACGTGATTGCATTACTATCTTTTTTTCTATATATTTTTAACATAAGTTCCAACATAAGGAGTTAACTGAGAACAATTTAAATTTTAAAAGATCAAGTGAGAATTTTTAAAGTTTTGAGCGCAATTAAGAATGACCTCAAAATTTAAGGGGCACCACTAATAATAATTCTAATATTTTTGTTATCATATGTCTAAAGCCCCTTGTATACACAAATTATTAGTATACATAAAAAAAAAAAACTCTATGCATGTATAAATTATTGAAAATGTGGGAAAAATTCCAAGTAACCTATACGATGAAGCTCAGAGTACTTTAATTAGTACTAATGACATATGCTATATATAATTGTTGTCTTGATACATGAGTTGTGTATTTTCTGAACTCATTAGACTAAATTTTTGTTGACAAATTAACTTGTCTAACCAAATCATTCAGATCTTGTTCTTTTCACAATTCAAGTCACAATTTAAATTCTATTACTACAATATTTTTTCTCATAAAAATTTAAATTCTACTTTTTCGCTACAGTATTTTTCTTTTACAAACACAACTTGAGTTCTTCTTAACTCGAGTTGTGAAACGAACGCCCTCAATTGCTTGAATCTTTTTTTCCTCCTCCAAGTGGTTGTGATTCAATTTCACAGCTCGTAATTAGTAGGGAAGAATTATTGTCATGTAAAGTAGCAAGAGAAAAGCAAAATTCTTAATATATATTGAGCACCAAGACATTGCCATGTTAATTATTTCCATGATTTCCTACTGGATCAACCTTTTTATTTGTTCAACTGATTGTTTTATCCCATAAATTATATCCAAAACATCCTTTCATGAACCCAAGAGTTTATGACAATTTTTCATCAAAAGAAATATATGAAAGCCTTTGTTGATATCTGAATTTGTATCATACCCATTATGGGTCCAGGCCTAATCTTTTGCATCCCGCAACGTAATTGGGCTTGTTTTGTGGACTCAAGCCACGCTCAGAGAACTCCTGTGGGTTGCGGTTTGGTGGACCATGAGTGATCATATAGGCTCATTTATTCTTAATTTGACCCAATTTGAAATCTGCTTAGGGTTTTTTAGAATTAGTCAAATTAAGCATGAATGGGTAATGGAGGATTCAACCCAAGAAAGCCTTCTCCTTGTATTTAGAAGCCCAAAATCCTTTATTTCACCACTTAAAAGACCCAAAACCCAAGCTTGATCATTTTGAAATTTTCTGTAACTCAAAGGCCTGAGAAATCCATCAATTTTGGCTCATTCAGAGACTTTTCTCACGACCAGACGTGCCTCTCGGAGTACTTCCCCTGTCAGGCATGCTTTCCTAGCTTTTCTCCATATAAGGTTGTCCATTCAAAACACCTATGCGCATTCAGAGCAATCTGTCATCAGAGCAAGTATATTGGCTGCTTGGTCATTCTCGTACAAATAATCTCTGACGAAAGTCTGACACGCGATCAAACTCTCAAAAAGGAGAGTCTTCGAAGTACTTAGTTGAGTCAAACACTTTTAGAGATTTCAAATTTGAAATCACTTCGCGTCAGCCCGAAATTACGAATTTGGACTTCGGACTAATTTGGTAGTGCTGTAGTGTACATGAACCAAGACGCTAGCTTACAAAGTGGCACCAAGAAACAATATATTCATGCACATATATATTGATATATATTTTATAACATAAGATGTAACATATTGGCTATTGCTTTTCTTCCTTGGTGCAGATTATGGAGGTTTTAATATGTGTTGGTCATTTGGTACGATGGTAAGCTCAATGGTTCTGTGCCAAAGCACAATGTAGGTATGTACCACAAAGTACGAGATGTGTCTAGGCTTATAGGTTGGCCTATGATTTTTAATCTTAAGTTGAAACAAGCATGGCACACAATTTCTATAGGGCATGCAATATTAAAGCTAGATATTTTTATTAGTGGAGGCTAAAAACAGCTCATTTGGTTGGAGGATTCATTCTCTGATTCGAATTATAGTTCATGATTTGCTACAGTATTTTATCTCACAAAAAACACACGTAAATTGAAAATTATTCTAATTTCATGATTCTAATCCATAAACTAAACGGACACTAAATCAAAATGTACTTAATGAAAATAAATATCTACAATGCACTATAATTGCCCCTATTAAGTCATGTTTTTACGATTTGTATACGATTAATTCAAACCCATCCTCCCCCCGAGGCATTATTTTTTTTTATTTCCCGTGCGTTTTCATTTTTCCATTCATAGCTAACACGACGACGTTTTATCTTTTCCTCTTCTATATAACCACAAACGACGTCAAAAACCGAAACGAAAAGTTCTGCAGAGAGAGAGAGACAGAGCGCTCTACATTTCTCAGGTAATTTCATTTCTCTTATTAAATTTTCATTCCTTTTTTTTTTTTTTTTTTTTACCTGTTTGTTTCTCTGGAAAACTGAAGAGAAATCAGGAAAACACCGAACTGCCTTCGCTACTTTAATTAGAGATTTTTTCTCTGCGTTTTCTTTTCCACCTCTCCCCAAAAATTGCTTGTAAGCCGAAGGTGAACATCATCTATTTACTGATTTTTCAAGTCTCTAGTTTCAATTTTAATGATCCGTATCCGAGTTAGCGATTTGGTTACGAGAAATGTGATTTTGTTGTTTCTCTTCAATTTTCGCTTCACTTCTTCTGGAATTCCTTTTCCTGGCATTACGTAGCGCATCTGAGATTTTCGTCTACTTTTAGGTCAAAAGAAAACTTTCTATGTAGATTAGGAATGTAGGAGAAATTCTAATTGATGTAATTTACTCTGAAAAGAAAAGAAAATCACTTGAATCTATAGTTTGATGCTCCATTGGCAGACATGTCACTCATTATTGTTTCTTGCTGATTTAGTTTGTTTAGAGATATGAAACATAAACCAATAAGTAGAATCCAAAAGTAAAAGCTATGATTTCTTACATTTGAGTAAATGCATGATTTTGTTTAAAGTCTTATTTTTGATAGAGCTTAAGGGGATAAAATCATATTTGAACTTACTAATAAGCAATAGAAATGCTAGAATCATGTTTATAAAATTTTGGTGAAGCTTTCGTAAATGGGGTAAGGGTAGAAGCAATTCTACTTAATTTCGTATTTTTGAAGAACATTTTTCCTTTTGGGCATCAGTGGTGTCACAACTCACAAGGAATTTGTTTCAACATGTAAAACCGATCTCATATTAATTGCAGGTCGGGCACGACTGCAGCCTGTTCAGCATAGATTTTAGGCGGTTGAAGAAAATAAGTAAAAACCATGGCTTTTGAGTTAGGGTGGTCGTCTATTTTTGAAAAAGCTTAGTGGAATGAATGAAAACTATTTTTAAAATTTCTTAATAGCAATAAAATAAAATTAGGTTTGAAGCTATAGGAAAAGTTGCAGAGCTTCTAGCCAAAAGCTAATATCAAAAGCTAAAATTAGGTTTGGACTCATGAAGCCAAAAGCTGCTTCCAAGAAGCAATATCAAAGAAGTCTGAACACACTTTGATAGACAGTCATGGGTAGAGACCTTGTGGGTTGGGTTAAGTTGGTATCTATTAGCCTTTTCTGTTCTGTTTCTTAAATATAGTCAGTTCCTGGTCACATCCTTGATTCTTCATTAAGACTTCTCCTTTTTGTTTTGCCTTTTCATGTGGAGAATTCAATATAAATGGGTGTTCTTTCCTAAGATTCTACTTAAGTACTTGCTCAAGTCCTTTCTACTGGTGTCTATTTTCTCAAATAACACTTATTCCATGCTTGCTCTAAACTACAATTTCTAAGGCCTCGTTTGCTTCACGAATTCAAGTTTTCAATTCGAGCTGAGATGTGATATTTTTAGAGAGCTTTTAACTGTAGCAGAAAAATTAGATGTGACATTTTCTAGGAGCTTTTAACTGTAGAAATTTTGAACTGAAAACTCGAATCGGTGAAATGAATGATGCCTAAGTTTTTCAAGTCTATAACCTGGAGTCTCTCTTTTTGGCGGGGCTTTCTCATTTTTCATGTTGGTAATGGAGTTTTCTGATTTTCCCTATCTTTCATTTTCTTCATTGGGGAAAGATTTATCTCCAAACTCAGATAACCTTGATACATACTAATTATCTTCATTCCAACTTGATTTTTTAATATTTAGATGATCTACCCTTTTACTTTCCCTTTTTCTTTTTCTATAATCATTTCACAGATGGAGGAACAGCTTCAAAACTCTCCAAAACTAGGTTCTCCCACTGAAAATGATGATCTGAAGTACGTCTCCGGGCTTAGTACCATACTGGTTGCCACAATTCAGGAAGCAAAAGACAGAATCTCTCAAATTGAATACATATTCTGCAGTCAGCTCTACCCAAATTTCCAATCAAAAACTAAACTCATGCAGAAAGTTTCTGAGGCCAGGAGAGCAGCAGATATTGAATGGAAAGAGAAGGAGAGTGATCTCTTATTCCAAATAGAAAGACTCAACCTTGAAAAGCAACAAACACTTGAGGAGAACCAGTCTCTGAAGCTTGAGAAAGCAAGGAGTGCAAAGGAACTAGGAGACAAGAATTGTGAATTACTAGCCAGATTAGAAAGTAAGCAACATAAAGTCGAAAAGCTGGAATTGAACCTTCGACAGAAGTCCAAGGAAATTGATGAGGGAATGAAATTGCGAAATAGCTTACTCGAGTTGATTCATTTGAAAGCCTCTGAGACTGTCAACAAAGAAAAACAACTGAAAGAGTATGAAGAAAAGACGGATGTTCTTCTTTCAGAACTGCATCACCTGGAGAAAAAGGTTGATGAGCTCCAAGAGGAGCTCAGAGAAAAGATTGGAGAAGTAGACAAAGGAAATGAAATAAAAGCAAACTTATTCAAGAAGATTGAATCACTGGCTTTAGAGATAATGAATTTGCGTGATCAAGAAACGGAGAAAAAAGTACTTGCAGGTAAGCTGGAACGTTTGGAAGGAGCAGTTTGTAATCTCCAAAAAGAACTCGAGGAAAAGCCTGAAGAAGTTGAGGGAAGGAGGCCGCAACACCATTTACATCAGAAAACAAATTCTAATCGGTTTGAAAGGTTGAAGACATTGGAGGAGAGCGAGAAAGAGAAAAAACTGCTTCCGGAGAAAATAAACGGCTTGGAGGAGAAAGTTAATGAACTTCAGGCGGATCTCAGAAGCAGGAAAAATGAGATGACTAAAGCAAGCGATTTGTACAAGAAGTCACTTGAACAGATTGAATTAAAAACATCTGAGTTACTAGTCGAGAAGAAGAAAAGGAGGGATGTCATTAATGCTTACAAAACGCTTAAATCACAATACAATTATCTGTGTGGAAAGTTGGGTTTTACTAAGGAAAGTATGCTCTCCCCACAGGAATTACAAGATGAACCTGATTCTTTAAATCATAGTTGGAATCAAATAACTTCGCCGGGTAAGATTTCGTTGCTTCTTTTTCATTTTCCTTATGTACATTAAAGCACATGTTGTGCTTACTATTTTGTTGGTCTTATCGTGGTTCAATTTTTGGGATATTCAAGATCCAATTGAGATCTAGTTTCATTAAGAACTCAGTTATTACATCGAGAAAATAACAGGATTTAATCCCATATTCTCTTGCACTTTCCCATGGGTAGACATTCCATTGACATTTCATCTGTTGCTTGTAGATCTTGAAGGCAAATGTGAAGACACTTCTCTAACTGCATGTGACGGCGACAAAGTGAAGAAAATCACTACTGACAATGATTTGGAGCAAAAGAATGGGAATGAGGTAGTTCAAGACTCGAGCTCCCTTTCTCCGACTTATAGTTTTCCTATTGCGCCCAAGTGTCCTTCCACTTTGAAATCTGCTCCACTAGTCGGTACAAAGCGGCCTGCATCTTGCTGGAGAGCTACCAGGTCTCACCAAGGCCAAAATGGGCATGACCCGCATGATGATTTTCTTGGCACTCCATTGGAAAACATCAGAGGAAACATGAATAAAACGATCAGAGAAGAATCTCGCGATATTCCAGTCCCAGTTCCTAAAGATGTGAATGTTGATAGTTCAGATGATGAGACGCAGGATGTGAGTGCTAATCAAAATCGACAAAAGCGTCACACGCCTGTTCGCAGTATCGGAGGAGAAAAAGGTTTCAAATTTGTGGAGCCTGTAAGAAAGAAAGCTGAGCGGGAGAATTTGAAAGGAGTTGAATGCAGGCAGTGTAAGAAGTTCTACGATGCTGTTCTTTGCGGGGATGAAGGTAAGGATGGTAATAATATCCGCTGTGAACACCATGAAGGCGTTTCTAGGCATCGGTATAGGTATGCTCCTCCTATGACTCCCGAAGGATTTTGGAATATCGGATTTGAATCAGAAATTTAGGGTCCGTTTGGTTCATGGATTCAAATCATGTGATTAGAATTATTTTCGATTTACGTGTATTTTTTGTGAGAGAAAATACTGTAGCGAACCACGAATCATGATTCGAATCAGGGAATGAATCTAGGTACTAAACGGACCCTTAATCTCCTTAAATACTTTATTATGTAATGTTTCTGGCATTGATAAGAAACTTCATTTGTAAAAATTTCATGGCCTTAAATGAAAGCTAGGGACATATTTGGATTTGTCAAAAATAACTCATTTTCATCTGTCATTTGCCCGTTGATTTATATGCAGGTCGAATAAGAATGTCAATGTAACTGAAGAAATAGTGATATAACTTATTGTTGTTCGTTTTTGGCTGGTAACTCATCTAAGGTTCTAGGTTGAGAACAAAGAACTCGGATTCAGAGACAGATTTCTGAAAGGAAAGAAAAATACAGATTGACCGAATGGTTTGCAGATTCTTGACATTCGAATTCATTGTCATTTGAGTCTCAAAATCCAGAAACTCATCACAAATTACAATCATGTGGTTATATTAGTCATCTTCTATGGCACCTCAAGAGATGCCACAAAAATGATTTAAGATTTGTGGATTTTTAAGCAGTGGTGCTTCTTGAGGCTAATCAACCATAGCTTCGAGTCACTTTGCCAAAATTAAACTCTATAAACAGAGAGGAAAAAATTATCTGTCTATTTAAAAAGTAAGAGTAAAGGAGGGCCTCATAAATTTGGAGAAGTTATATGCATTTGCATTAGTGAAATGACGAGATGAAACAACTAGCATAAGCACGTATAATAGGGGCCGCAATGTGTAATTGAGAAGAATGAGGACTGAGAATTGAGAGAATTATTGAATTTACTCTTAAGAGTGCGTGAGTGAATTTAGATTTTTATCTTTTACTCTTGATTAATATTTTTTTTTGATTAAAAATGTATTAATCAAGAATAAAAGATAAAAATTTAGACTCATCCACTCTAATCTCATTTCTCCTTTGAGAATTTTAATCAACAAGCATTGGTAAAAACTATGGAGGAGTAAGTATAATTGTGTCCTCATTAGTCCAAACAAACATCATACATGTGATAAAATGCAGTTAATTAAATTACATGATCATATGAGTCTCTAATCTAATTAAATTACATGGCAATGCGGTTAATTGGGTGTGAAGCCACTTTATCAACCACTTTGTTTCCCTCCCTAAAGATGTGCGAAAAAAATAGTCCATTTGCCCGAAGGCAACGCGCTAACAACTAACGAGCTTTGAATCTCCAAGGAAACTGTGAGAATTAATCAAACCAACCACGTAAATGGAATCACTCTATATCCAAATCTTTTTTATTTTATTTTTTATTTTTTGAAATCTTTTTTATTTTGTACCGTTACATCATGTCTGTGTTCTGAGAACCTCCAATCCAAGATCCATTAATCTCTCTCGCGCATGGTAGCAAAATCACGTTTTTATTTGCTACCGTGTGCCATGAGTTAGTTTGGACTCTTAAATGCGAATTTTAAGTTTTTATTGGGTAGAAAAATGCGATTTTAAGTTAAAAGGTAGGAACAGCGAAATAAAGGAGGAGGTGCAGAGAAACATGCATTGGGTCTGATGACTTTGACCTTTGCTTTTCTAATAATTTCACATAGGATAAGATCATTTTGATACATTTCTTTATCTGGCTGGTATTTTATATTTTAATAATATTAAAATGTAATATCTTGAGATCGATTTTTTAGATATATAACTCTCAAACTGTCCTTTTCATAAATTTAAATAGAAACCAAGAACTTCAACGCAATGTTATATAAATGTACTGGTTGTAAATTTAGTATTTGAGTATAAAAAATATTCTCTAATATAATGTTATTTATTGTGTTAAATTTTTTATATATTATACTTTGTGGTAAATTTCTCATTAAATATAGCATATGAAAAATTTATCATTTGTTTACTATTTGTTAAAATGCTTATTTTTTCATGTAATTATCGCAACTTTTGTATTTTTTAATTATTTAAAAAATAAAATTTTACTTTACAACTTTAAAAGCTTAATGATTATGAGCAAACGTAGATTTAACATTTCAAATAGTATTATGCATTAGAGCAAAAATGAAAATAACATATTATATCATAATTTTTAATGTTAAATATACAATGGGTATTAACGGTCTAATAACATTAAAAAGATTTTCTAAAAACAGTTTAATTTATTTGATTTTTTAATTTTTAAATGGGTTCAAGTATTTTCAGATTTTTTTTAAAAACAATTACTAATTTATTGTTAATTAGTGAGAAAGGTATAATTTATATTTTATGTCTCAAAAATCAATTTTAGGGTATCAAAAAAAAACTTTTTTTAAAGGTAAAGTTACTGTTTTAATATTATAAAAAACATAGGATATTATTGATATGTTTCTTTATAACAGAGTTTACCAAAATAATTTTATCCCTTTAACATATTAAGGGTTTTTTTTATTTTTTTTTATTTTTTTTTATTTTTATACAATACGAGATTAAACCCACAATCTCCCACCTAAATTCCACCTCACTTAAACCCCTTAGTGTCACTAGACTAAGAGGTCTTAGGCATTAGTTAATCTCTGAACATATTCTTCCAAACACGCCATAATAAAATGCTAATTATACTACATGATATGTTATGCTATTATTGTAACATATTTATGCACTCAGAAGGAATTATGGGTTCCACCATGTGCTCCCATCAGTGTAACTACCCAATTTGTCTTCTTCTTTTTTTTTTTTTCTTTTTTTTTTAAGGTTTTTGCATGGAAAACCTTTTAATATAGCTGACAAAATGATAAATCATGTAATGAAGCAGTCATGAAATTGTTAATATATGATTTATAATATTGTTTTATGTAAACAGTCCACTTTCATGAACAAAAGAAAAAAAAATACCGATCAGGCATTTCCTGTCTGGACACATTTTTAGGATTAATTTCATAAATATCCACTAAATTTTGTACCTTGTTTCAATATGCTTCCTAAATTTTTAAAAAAGTTCATTTCACCTTGTAAAGTATGAAAAATGATTCAAAACACTTCATGAGCTAATGTTTTTTTTATACCCCCTGAACTATTGATTTTGTGTCTACTTGCCTCCTGATTTTTTAAAAAGTTAAGGAGCAATTAGTTAACATAAAAGTAATAATTCAAGAAACAAGTTTACGTAAAATTAATAATTTGAGAGCCATTTAAAAAATATAAATAGCGTTCATCAATTTATTAGTTATATACAAATGTAATAGGAATTTTGAATTAGGGTACATATTTCAGAGGGTACAATGAATTCTTTAAGCATGTTGAAATAAGATACACAATTTAAGAACTATTTATGAAATTAATGCTACATTTTTACCGTATATGTGTAGTGAAATATTTATAAAGATGAATTTTATCTGTAGATACCTTATATTATGAGGGTCAATAACTTTTTGTATATAGTTAGATATGAGTAGAATTAATATATAAACGTTACTATAAGCGAAAAAAATGATACAAGTGAATTATAGTGACATACAATATGCTGATAATTAATTATTTGTTCTTCAAGGTGAATTCTCTAATTCCTATCCTAAGATTAGGTAAGAGCTATGGAGGAACAACTGTGTGGATCCTCATAATTAGTGACCAAAATATATATATATATATATATATATATAT